AGAGAGAGAGAGAGAGAGAGAGAGAGAGAGAGAGCGTGTCTGTGTGTGAAGACAAGATCTTGTCCACAAAAACAGGCTTAGAGTGGCCGTAGCGCTAATCTTTACTCTCCTTTCAAGACGAGAAACGCGTTTATTGGTTCCAGATCGAGCTTATAGATAAAGTACTAGATGCCAATAATAAAAATCCACTTTTTGGGACAAATAACCCGCCTGGGAAAAAACCGAATAGGACAATCGGCAAAACCGACACGGGAAGGTCAAGCAGAAATAATATGCGTCACAACGCGGTGGAATCAGGTGCTCGTCACGTTTTGTGCAAATGAGTCAATTGGTATAATCTTAAAGCTTGATCTTTTGTTTTGTTTTTGAAGAAAAACACACAAAAAACTCACTTATCATGAACAGGAGTCGGGATAAGTACGATTCACAGAGGTCGGGGTAGCCTGGTGTCAGAGGTAAAATTCCAAACATTAGTGAGAAGACGGCCGCCAAAGTTGGGTGATTTCCTAAGCTTGAGTGCCCTTTGAATCTGCAAATTTACATTTTTGAACCTTTGAACAACGTTTATCAGTAAAATCCACACAAAAATGTGTTCTAAATAGACATGAAGGTGCTGAATGAAAATAAAGGGGGAAAAAATTGAAATACAGGCTAACTGGCGGGGGAAAAGTATGTCTCTTTCATCGGTTTCATTATTTTCACCACGATGCCTCACATACAATTTCGGAAATTCACGCTGTTTATTATTAATAAGATAACGGCATTCATATTGGCTTACACACTGTGTGAACAATGTGGCGCCAACTGAGAATATTTTCGAAGCGAAAGTAGTAAAGGTAAACTTAAGCCCTCCATTCTGAACTTACTTGACCTAGTATATACATCCGGGGTCTTTACGCTCTGTTGTGTCGATGTGGGTCGTAGAGACGTTATCTGATCAAAACGCTTTTAAATGAATTTATGAAACAAAAATTTGTCGACTTTTTCTTTTATCGAAAACGCCTTTTCTTTTTCTGTTTATCTATTTAGGGTGTCTGTTTATATATATATAT